AGATCTATACTACGACTGAGAAATTAGATGGTAAAAAGCATTTATCCAACTAAAACAGCAAATACATCATGCGGACCAACAGTTGCATAAAGCAACGTGTCAATAAAACAGTCCCCAAATATAATGCTAATGCTAACATACTAATGTTTAAAAAAGCCTGAGACAATTGTGAACTGTTATTAACGTACATTGATAGTATGATATTGAAGCAGTAAATTCGAATAAACAATACAGCTTTTACCGATATTTATAACAGGACTATTATTAATGATCAATGAACAAAAATGAAAATGGGAATTACAGAGGTAAGGGGTAAACAAAAACAACGTGAATAACAACAATGTTGGTAATAATAAGGTGCAATCAAAAGCAGCCAACATCTTTCAAGTTTATACACAAGATTTATAAAAGGTTAGGTGTTAGTTGGATTGAACAATAAGGATAAGATGAAATGGGCAACCAATAAGTGACCACTGTCGACTAATACTGAGCACGTTTCCTTCAAAAATTTTGAAACTATTACGTCGAAATGATTAGACGTTGAGTAATTATACAGTAGTGTATGCTAATTATATCGACATACATAAGTACTATGTAACACTGATCTGAAGTGGAATGCTTGCCAGTAGAATGTACACTTTCAACAGAGAAATGAACAATAACACTATATTTTAAAACAATAAAATTTCATATTTACTTTTTAGAAAGTATAACTGTACGTAAAAATAACAGAGGAAGAAAAAAGAAAAAAGATTGAAGAGAACAGTCACAGACCTACAGCAACAAATCTATTTTGACAGCTAAGTATGCAAGGTTGAATTGTTGATAAAGTGATATATTTTTAAACGAATAAAAGGTTGAGAAAATAGTCCTGTTTACACAGTTGTGTGACAACACGCTTACACATTTTAGTGAATAGATAGAAAGAGCGAGAAAATCATGTATATACTGATATATAAAACTGAAGTTCATCAAAGTATACTATACACTTTCATTCGTATAAATTAAGTTATAATAAGATTCAAAAAGACGCCATACTAAATGATTTTCCAGCTTTTTTTCACTACAATAACCCATTGTTCGAGTAGATAAATGCAATTGTTGCTAACATTTTAATTACAATTCAAGATCATTACTTCTGTATCGTATTAGTGTAACATATGGAGTGGTAATCTAATTGGTTGGAGCACTTCATTATTATCAACAAGCGGACACTTCACCTCAACTACATTCAGTAGATCAGTCTAAAAAGAGGGAAGTTAGTATTGCTAGTCCTTAAACTATACCTACAGCAAAAAATGTAATAAAGAAACACAAGTGTGTCTATTATTTTAATGTGAATAACTTAAACTCGCTACAAACTGGAAGCTGATGACAATTGCAATAGATAATCCTGAATTAAAACTAAAATAAAAACTAGCTTACCGACAACCAGCCAGTAATACTTGTCGATACATTTCAACAGATGATTTACCACCAAATTGTCGTCCAATCAAATAGGTATTATGTGATGAATTAATATAATAATGACTGAGTGGTTGATCCATATCTTGATAAATATCTAACTTGTCCAAAAATACACACGCATTATCATCAGACATTAAATAACGATAAAAGCATTCAATGGATACCTCATCTGTGGATTAAAAAAATAAAAAGGAGAATAAATAAGATGAATAAAAAAGAACAACAACGAGAAGAAAGAATTTAACCAAACGATAAAATATAATGAATTATAGTGGAGAAACCAATGATAATTTTATGATGAAATAAATGATTTTTCAGACTATGATTACAATAGAAGGTAAGAAGTTTACGTCATACATTTGTTTGTAATACGGGGTAGAAGAGAAACTAAACGTTAGATTAGAAATTAAGCTGAAAAAGCCTTCTCATCTAAATAACAGTATTAATATACACGCTTGTAGGAAAGAAATCAAATACGATTACGTTTTGAAACAGTTTCATTTTGTGGAATCAGTGTCTGTGTGTGTGTCCGTGTGTATGAAGTTTCGTGATGAGATAACGTTCAATCACTATCATGTAACTACAAATTAATGTCCATTTAAATATTGTATCTAATAGATAGTGTATGTAATACTAGTTAAAAAATCAACCCAGTTTAACTTCAGAAAAACAGATTTAGAAAAACCGAATCGTATTGATAACATAATAATTAATAATATTACGAACACTTTTTAAAGCTACTGAATTATTAAATATTTATAATTTATACAAATAATTATTGATTACTGAAACAGCTTCAGATGAAACTTTAATCTGACCATATATGACAAACATTCACATTGATAAAGGATATCAAAGCCAAAACTACAATTATTAAAACGTTACAAAGGTATGGAAAATTAGACAAACGTCTCCAGAGTTAATCGTTGAGCAATACAACAGTCGATCACCTTGTGAACCATCTTCAACCGAGATTATATATAATATTACAATTTACCAGTTTATAATATGGAGTCAGTCGACAAAGTTATCGGGTGTGGATTGTTAATGTTGACTTGTATGTTGGCCATCTCAGGATACTCATAGAAATCTGTTCCATAAATTTGATCATCTTTTCTATCTTCCACTAAACTTTAAGCGTTGAATTGTTTCATAATTTTCACATCATGATTTTACCCACTATTTTCTAAGTACATTCTCGAAGTTTAGTAGTCATCCCGACGAATATTATATTTCTGATTTATTGGTCGTCCATACTACCTATTTGCCGTCTTAATGTGCCAATTAGCTGATGTGAGAAATTGATGAGATACAGATTTTTGAAAATCCATTATAAACAAAAGGAATATACGATTAAAAATGTCTTCCTTCCAGACTTACCAGTATTTTTGAATTCTTCTTGTGTTTCATAATTTTCTTGGATATACTTAATAGTTTGTTTGTTAGCAAATGGATAGAGAATTTCATTTAGGCGAGGGTCACGTTGAGTCTATGAAAATAAAAGCAGACAAAGATGAACCATAAAACCAAATGGAATGTAATGGTAGCATAAAAAATAGCAAATTGCCAGATTGATAAATATGTATAACTTGAGAAGTAACAAACAGCACTTTGGCACTGTTTTGCTATTGATAACCTATCCAATTGAACGGTTGTTTCAATCAAAATAACTACTGAAAATAAGGAATTTCTCCATAGCAATTAAAAACAGAAACAATTGTCCATTTATTTACAAATTTTTTTGCTTTCTGATAAGCTAGAAATCTTGTGTACCTCGATATTTGATTTCCTTTCCATGAATCACCATATTTCTGATAGAATCTTAAATGTTTCCAGTTATTGTAAGCAGAGATAAATGGTGGCTAGTAGTGGAATCCAGGAAACATGTTTCATCTTATTTGAGACAAGTCAGCTGGATGTATCTGTATGGTTATTGTTTTACAAATTTTAGGTACTTATAATAGATGAGAACTGTAGTTCGTTCTTTTCCATGAACTATGAGCAGTTTTATAATTGAAGTACCTATATATAATTAAAGGCAATACTAACAATATTCTGTGGTTAGGAAGTTTACATAAATTAACAAGCCTGTTAGTCAGAAACAAAACATGAAGTTACTAATCAATAAATTGCAAACACAATACAATTTTAATTAAGATCATAAACTGATCAAGGTTAGACCATCATACAATTATCCCTATTGACAAATTTAACCAAACCAAGAGCAACTAACGTAACAGAATAGTATGGAACCCTTTTATTTTCTTATTTCTCATCAATTGCATCCGGTCTAAACATAATAGTATTAATTATCGAAAACCAGTGTACATAGTTTATGTATCATGATATCGGAAAAGTTTTCATGGATGAAGATCAATGAAAAGAGACAATAAATATAAAGAAACTATATGAGATGTCTATATATTAAATGTGAAGATTTATGGGTTGAATACGTGAATATTCTACAACCAACAAATAAGAACATAGAAACAGAATTATTTAGAAACGAAAGAATGTTATTAGTTAAGCAACTCTAAAAATAAAAGTAACTAACTGGGTGGAGATCAGATAAGAAGTTGGAATTTATAGTGTTGTGGAAAGAAACAAATTGCATGACAAACATTTATGAATAACTTCGCCATGGCAAATCAGGGACAGTAACTAAGACTTTTGGAATGCATCAATTTGATTTAAGTCTCTCTATGCCAATTGCTTCAGTGGAACGCAGTAAATTCGAAATTAGTTAGCAATCGTTAAGGGATTTGAGACATTGACACTATAATTACTGTCAAGCAAATGGTGTGCAATCGCACTGCTGAAAGCATGTCCCCAATCAAGTTTAAGTTATCATGGAACATGCTCAGAGATTTGGACACTAGCTCTCTCATAACCTATGCGCTTTGGTGAACACACAAACTGATAGACAAAATTGGAAAACAAATAGCGTGGGAATTTGTCCACATATGACCGTCTCAAAGATCAATTTGTTTATACAGAGAGATTAGCCCGTTAGCTGTCCTACGATCTATTATTTCATCAACCTTGAAACTAAACCTCAGGAAAACAGGCATTTTCTCAACCACAGCGTACTTTATTCCCTACATTTTAATCTTACTTACTTACGCCTGTTACCTCCAGTGGAGCATTGGCCGCCGACCAGCATCCTCCAACCCACTCTGTCCTAGCCCTCCTTCCTAGTTCTATCCAATTGTTGTTCATTTTTCTAATGCCTGTCTCCGTTTCTCGACGTAATGTGTTCTTTGGTCTTCCTCTCCCTTTTTGACCTTCAGGATCCCATGTGAGGGCTTGCCTTGTGACGCAGTCGGGTGCCTTCCTCAATGTGTCTTATCCACTTCCAGCACTTCTTCCTGATTGCTTCCTCCGCTGGGATCTGGTTTGTTCTCTCGCATAGTAGATTGTTGCTAATAGTGTCTAGCCAACGGATCCGAATTATCTTGCGTAGATAGCTGTTAATAAACGCTTGTATCTTCTGGATGATAGCTTTTGTAGTTCTCCAAGTTTCAGGCCCCATACAGTAGAACTGTCTTGACATTTGTGTTGGAAATTCTGAACTTGGTGTTGGTTGACAGTTGTTCTTCAGTAGTAAATATACTGCTCTTGCTTTGCCGATTCGCTCCTTCACGTCTGCATCAGGTCCACCGTGTTCATCAATGATGCTGCCCAGATATGTAAAGGTTTTTACATCTTCCAAATCTTCTAAGTCAAGTGCGATTCGATTTCTGCATGCTGTGTCGTATTTCAAAATCTTTCTTTTCCCTTCGTGTATGTTGAAGCCTACTGCTGCTACACTAGTCGTCTTCTCCCGTATTAGTTGTTGCGTTTGCGATAAGGAGGCCAGATCATCTGTGAAGTCTAGATCGTCCAACTGCATCCTAGATGTCCATTGTATCCCGTGCTTTCCTTCAGATGTCGACGTCTTCATGATCCAGTCGATCACCAGGAGAAAGAGAGAAAGGTCGAGAGTAAGCAACCTTGCCTAACACTGGTCTTCACTTCGAACGAGTCTGTCAATTGTCCTCCATGCACGATTTTGCAGTTTAGTCCATCATAGGAATTCTGTAGTGTCGAAGAAGCTTCCATAGTGTTGTTCTGTCCACGCTATCAGATGCCTTTTCGTAGTCAATGAAGTTGATGTAGAGTGATGAATTCCATTCCATTGATTGTTCCACAATGATCCGTAGTGTTGCAATTTGGTCTGTACACGATCGGTCCCTACAGAATACAGCCTGTTGGTCTCAAAGTTGTTCATCTACGGAACCCTTCATTCTGTTTAACAATACCCTGTTGAAGACGTTTCCTGGTATTAAGAGAAGAATGATGCCCCTATAGTTAGCATACATGCTGAGATCACCTTTCTTCGGCTTTTTGATCAGAACTCCTTTTTTCCAGTCTGTTGGTACTTGTTCTTCATCCCAAATCTTGCTGGAGAGAGTGTGGAGTATCGTTGCAGTTACTGCCACATCTGCTTTCAGTGCCTCTATTGTAATGTTGTCTGCCCCTGCTGCTTTGCCACTCTTGATTTGTCTGATGGCCATGCTGATCTTTCTAATTGTTGGTGGGTCAACATCGATTAAGGGATCTGTGGCTGCTACTTCGATGTTGTGTGGGTTCAGTGGAGCTGGTCGATTCAAGAGTTCTTTGAATTGTTCTACCCACCTGTTTCGTTGCTCTTCGATGTTGGTGATTACTTTGCCCTCCTTGCTTTTCACTGGTCGTTCTGGCTTACGATAATTTCCAACGAGTTTCTTTGTTGTGTCATACAGTTGTCTCATGTTTCCTTCTCTTGCAGCCTTTTCTGCTGTCTCAGCTAAACCTTCCACATATTTACGTTTGTCGGTTCTGATGCTCCTTTTCACTTGCTTGTTTACTTCTGTGTATTCAGCTTGTGCGTTGGCCTTCTCTGCTCTTGTTCGACTGGTATTGATTGCTGCTTTCTTGTTCCTCCTTTCTTGAATCTTATCCAATGTATCAACAGTGATCCATTCCTTGTGATGGTGCTTCTTGTGACCCAGGACCTCATGATATGTTGAAGTGATTGCCTCTTTGATCCTCTTCCACTTGCTCTCCATAGTAGTTCCTTCTCCATTGAGTGGATCATGAAAGGCCTGGAACTTATTGCTGAGGATTATCTTGAATTTGTCAGTGTCTCGAAGAAAAGCCGTATTAAACTTTTGTGATGCTGTCCGCCCCGTTGTCCAGTACTTCTTGAGTTTCAATTTCATCTTGGCGACCAGCAAGTGATGATCTGATGCTATATCAGCCCCTCTTTCGGTTCCCACATCCTCCATTGTCCTCCTGAACATTTTGTTGATGCAGATATGGTCGATTAAGTTCTGCATAGTGTGATCAAGTGAAGCCCACGTGCTTTTGTATATGCGTTTCTGAGGGAATATAGTGCTGCCTATGACTAGTTTATTGAAGGGACAGATATGCAAACTCTCAACATTTTTGTTTCTTTCTCCCAGTCCATGTCGTCCCATGACGTCTTCATATCCGGTATTGACCATTCCAACGTTGGCGTTTAGGTCTCCCATCACAATGGTCAAGTTCTTACATTTTTAGTCTCTTAATACTTAATTATAATGAGAAACCGGTATATAAAATGAAGCCATGTTTCTCCACTAAGTTTATTTTCTTATTTTAGTCAAATCACAAACCATTTACTAATTCTTTAGTTAAGGGTAATCAAAACCAAACCTAACCGCACTTCTTCCAAGGTTTCTCACAAAAGAGATCAGATATTAGAGAAAAGAAAAGTAAGTTACTTATAAAAATCAAAAAGGCAGCACACACTAAACTGGATTCTCAATGTAGAGGAAAACGTGACAAGAACATTAAATATCCAGTAAGTGAATGGCACGATAATATTTTAATACAAATCCTCATCCAGAAGCATGTAAAAATGTCATTCAAAATGGTGAAGTTATTAATGATGTGACGATAAAAAAATATTTTAGAAAATGAACGATATTGCAGAAATATTCTAAGCTATAATTTGGAAAACAAACTATCATCAATGTAAGAAAGCAGTTTTATAAAACCTAAATGACAAAAATCGTGTTTCATATATAGAATATATATAGCCCCCGAATGCCCTGGAACGGTCGAGTGTGAGGACAGTCAGCTCCTCCTCTCAAAATGCTCTCAAGTGGCCACGTGTATACAACCACTGCCAGGAAAGTCCTACTCATTGTCTTCTCACGATGGGAGTGTTGTTTACGAAATTGAGAAGACAAAACGCGAATGTCCGGCGCTTTAACCGAGTTGGTGGGTATAGAGGGTTCACCAAGTGGAGTTGGAAATCCCTGATTCCAAGCTAATAATGTACGTGGGTTCCATGATCCTGATGGAAAAAATGGCATATGAACCTATTGTCTTCCACCGGCTACCATGGGACCACATCTCGTGACGTTGCTCCACTGCCTTGTGAATTAGACCTTAAGGTCAAAGCCTCGGGGTGCGGCCCCCTAAGAAAACCGCCTGCTTCCGTTTGGGCAGCCGGGTAGTATACCAGCTCTCACATAAATCGAATAATTTATGTGGCTCATATCTATTTGGTGCCTCCTGGTATCAATGTTTATGTGTTTAAATAAATAAATACATAGAGAGAGTGAAAGGTAAGCTACACTGAACACCTGGCTAGTCCAATCTGTTACATAAGGATAAACCAAAGAGTTTCGACGAATCGAATCGTTTTAGGATTCTTTTTATAAATAATTAAAATTAACCGTGAAAATAAAGTTTAAAAACTGATTAATAAAATACAGTCAAATAATAATAACAATAATATCGTCAAAATCATGAACGGATCTAAGTTAGACCACCACTGAAAACTTGTAAGCACTAGACGGCCATTCCGTCCTAGTATGTGACTTCGCAGTAGTGCACATCAATAACCCCATACTCATGACTCGAACCCAGCACCTCAATAATCACGCGAGAACGCTTGTTCTCTAAACCACTGAGCTGGCATACACAGATGTTAATGTCTAGCTTTAATCAACCCATAACATTCTGAGACCATCTTCCAGTGGTGGACTAACTTTTCATGATTTCAATGAAATTCAACAATCTCCATAACTCCATAATAAAAATAATCATGTGCTCACTGGTGACTAGATTCAAGAAGATATTTCCAGAGTTCTAATGAGAAGTAGTGATCAGTGCAGCAAATTTGCATCTTGTATGAAACAGCTACTAACTGAAGACAATTGACATTGATCGCGCAATGTCGCAATGTCAGACATTAACATCGTTGTATGCCATGTCAGTGATGTACAGGTTAAGCATTCGCGTGCAAGACCAAAAGTTCTGGGTTCGAGTCACGCATATGGGTGCTCGCTCCTGAAGATTCCTATACTAGGATGATACTATCATCAGTGATTCCAGGTTTTCAATGGTGGTCTAACTTGGATCACTTCATGATTTCAATAAAATTCAATAATTTTCATAACCTCATACTGAAGATAATACTATCGTAAGTGAATGATATCGCTTTCATACATTCAAGTTTTTTTATTGTTGACTTCCCAATTACATACAAGAAACTTAAACTACTATACATGCAATAAATATTGAAATGTAGAAATAATATCCATAAGAAATGAGAAACATAAGCTGTTTAAATGAACTTGTATTTTAAACAAGTATGTAGTAAAACATGCTTGAAAGATTAGAACTGAAAAAAAAGAAGTTAAACTATACTAAAACACTATGAAAAAGAGATATCCTGAATCTTCTATCTTGTGTACAAATTGCTTTAAATAATATATAATATGAGGCAAATTTCTGTTACCGTACACTTATGTTTCATCGAAATACAATAATTGAATTAATATGCTTAACTACAAAAAGTTCTTTTTATTGTTTTGTATACACTTCTTTTTTATAATCTAAAACAAATCGACAATCGAGTAGGCAAAAATACTTTTTTCCAATATGATATAAAGAAACTGTTATTATATATTTTTTTATACATGAATTGAGCATATTACAGATTATCATTCACATAGAAATTTGTATTAATACTATTTGAGTGTTTTTCATTGAAACTATAGAGATTAAATCACAATATAACTAGTTTTATAATTAAAAAATAAATAAATACAAAACATGCTAATATCCACGATGAAGAATGTATTGACTGAGTCTGCTTTTCACTCTTTAAAAGATAGATAATGTGAAAACAGTTTTCATTAAATAATAGAAGGTTTTATTTAATTGATAAGATAATATCTGATAAAAGTTAAATATTATCTTGATCCTTTCAGGAAAGTAAACTAACTAATGGAATTTCAAGAACAAACAGTTTTTTGAAGAAAAAAAATGAGCCAGTTAATCGAATCGCATACTCTTATAATTTAAAATTGTAAGGGTTTACACTTTAGTGACTTTAACATACTAAGTTTTCCCTTAATCTGACTTTTGAAGAAGTAACTAGATTGAATTTTATTTATCAAGTATATTATGAGACGAAAATGTTATATGCACGAAACCATTAGTAAACGTTTTCGGATCAATATGAATAGCGGCCAACTACTGTAAGAAAAAAGGTTATTTTAACAAATATTTACAAGTTAGAAAAGCGTAAGACTGAAGTTTGCTGTAATATTCCATATGTGTGTTGTGCAGAGAATTACTTACGATAACCAGACACATGCTATTGAATAAAGCCATTATTATTAGTCTATTAATGAAGGTTAACTACAGTCAAATAATAACGATATCATGAATGGATCAATGATAGACCACCATTGAAAACCTGGAAGCACTGGATGGCCGTTTCGTCCTTGCGTTGGGCTCCTCATCAGTGAGCACCCACGATCCTGCACGCGGGACTTGAGTTCGGGACCATCAATCTTGTGCGCGAAGGCTTTACCTCTAGACCACTGAGCCGTCTTCTAACGGTGTTAACGTCTCGTTCAAACCAATGCACGATATTCCGTGACCGTTTCATACTAGGACGAAACTGACGTCCAGTACTTCCAAGTTTTCGATGGCGGTCCAACATTGATCTATTCATGATAACAATTTAAACCCAACAATCTCCATAACCCTATACTGGTAATTTAATAATAAGGTTCAATAAATATCCTCTGGTGAAAGAGTGCAGATGTGCACACGTCTTCATAGGAATAAATAGGTTAATAAAAGCCTGGTGGCAGGAGAATCTGGGTCAGAATCGATCTAAATAACCCAGAATTACTCAGTTCTCATTATCTATACATTGAAGATCCCCATTAAATATCGTACCTCATACCGATTAATATACTTTTATTTGTCCTAATATCCTTTTAAGTTTTTGGTTTTATCATTACATGTCTACGTGAAGTACAACAAGAGGAACGTATACACCTTTATGTCAGGTAACTCTAGAGTTTTAATTTCCACAGCTTTTGCGTGATGATTCGCTAATCCCATTTATTTCCAGTTTACTTACTGAATTATCCAAAACATTTTCATATCACTAAACTATTTCACAACAAGAATAGTGAAAAAAACACAAGTCAAAACCAATATACTATAAACAGTTAACTTAAAAATAATGTTCATAACAAAAACCCATTTCAAAATTAATGAATTCAATCACTGATAAAACATTTTCCGTAATGCAGATATTTGTCGTCGTCAATATATGCATTTCCTTTTAATCAAAATCTACTATTTAAATGAAAATATTTACTGTATATTTTATTCAGCAACAGTTGTGTACATTTTTTATCTAGCTAATGTGTAGAAAAGTTGTTTTGCAAAGCTACTATTACTATCATTAATTGTATTATGCGTAAACACATTACACAAAATAAATGATGTAATCTCTTTATGATCAACATTGTCAACTGTAGTTCTATTTATATATATAAGTTCAACTTAACAGGAAATAATGTCAACAAAATATTAATGATACATTAAAAAAAAACAAATTATAACCAAATCAAAACTCCTGCTTATTATTCACTAAAGTTTTAACAAATATTATCGTGTCTAATACTTAATCCCGGTCAAGTTATATCAATGAGATTACAACATGGCCAATAGTCTAAATGACCTATTACGGCGATGTACTTTATGACATATCTTTGAGTTCAAGATAGTTGGAAGAATCTGAACACAGATTTTATTCAAGCTGAAACTCAGATGGTAATACGTGCCTACAATCTAAAGAGAACTAATGCTACACGTTGAATTTAAACATACATCATCCAGTGTCACATTTAATGGCATAACCAGTAACCGATTTGATCAATCTCTACCCAGCAGTCAATCAATTGTAAGTATATTTAGTACAAATGAGGAAAGAACGTTCTTCCTTAAGAGAAAGATCAAATACAACAATAGTAATTTGTTTAAAACAGACAATCATAAATATTACTAACTAATCAACTTACTTCATTGAGAAATTCTATCATTTTATCTGCATGTATGTGACTTTTGCCTTTTGATCTACATAAAGAAAATATAAAAACATATAAAGAACTTTCAATGAATTCGAAAGGTTAGATCACTTCAATAGAAGTAGGTATACTCACGTTGGTAGTCACATATTCATTATTATTATTTGTTAAGATATTCATTAAAGTGAAAATATATCCAATGTTACAATACAATAGTTGGAGAGTGAAAGAAATCCTATTACCCGGTTTATTAAATTAAATTATATTAAGTTTTGATGGTGAAATGCAATATAAATTGAAAGCCAAAAACAGAGTCATTCTAA